AGTAATAAGTAGAACATACAACTGCTTAATTAAAATACACTTAATAGTGACTTGGTTTTCTCACAAGCATATATATTCTGCATAGTTTTGATTTTTATTTATTTATTTTGGGCCATACCTGCTGATGCTCAGGGGTTAGTCCTGGTTCTACGTTCAGGAATTATTTCTGGTGGTGCTTGGAATCAAATGGGATGCTGAAGAATCAGACCCTGGTTGACAAGGCAAACATTATATCTGTTGTACTATTGCTCTTTGTCCCTCTGCCAGTACCTTCATGTGTGCGGAGAGTGGTCTCGGCATGGTGGTGGCTGGTCCTGGAGGTCTTCCTACTTTGGACAAACTTGCAGGCTATCGAATGTAGCCTGCCCACAGGGCAGAGTCTGGCAAACTTCCAGTGGCGTACCAAATATGCCAAATACCAGTAACAATTATGGGTCTCATTCTCCTAAAGAGCCTTGAATATAATCTCAGGGCTAGGATGAAAGAGATGTTACTGGGGCCTGCTCGAGGCAATTGATGAATAACAGGATGATGAATGAATGAATGAACTATTGCTCTGGTTTCTCCACATATATATTTTTTAAAAAATGACTTCACTATTCTCTCATTTGTTCTAGCAAGAAATTAAGAGTAAATATTGTTTTGTTCTTTTTTTTTCTTTTTGGATCACACCTGGCATTGCACAGGAATTACTCTTGGCTCTGCGCTCAGGAATTATTCCTGGTGGTGCTCAGGGAACCATATGGGTTGCTGGGAATCTAACCCTGGTCGGCCACGTGCAAGGCAAATGCCCTACCCACTGTGCTATTGCTCCAGCCCTTTTTTGTTTTTTTTTTTCTATTTCCCTTTTCTGTCTTATCATCATGTCAATGTTAAAATATGTATTCTTATCTGTTTTACTTTTTTTCTTTTGTACAATTTATGTCCTAGTCACGGTCCTTATTATGTAGCCTATAGATTTTTGTCAATAGCTCTTTAACTATTCCTTTTTGTTTTGCTTTGTGGTTTATCTGCTATTCCCATAGATAGCCTGAGCTATAATTTTTAAAATGCTTTTTATAATTTCACTACAATTATTCCTACTGAGATTACTTAAAATCAACATTGTCTTGTCACCACATATTTTTATAAAACACAAAGTTTTTTTTTTTTTTTTTTATATATATTTTTTTAATTTATTTATTGAATCACTGTGGGAAAGGTTACAAAGCTTTCAGGTTTATGTCTCCGTCATGCAAATATCAAACACATTTCCCTTTACCAATACTTATTTTTTACCATGAAGAACCCCAATAAAACCCCACCCCCCACCCCTCCCCGTCCCTGTGAAGCAGATGAATTCTAGTTAACACTCTATCTGCTTTGATTAGATTCATTGTTTCAATAAAAGATTCACCACTATTATTTAGAGTTTACCCCCCCCCCCCCCAAATCAGACATGCTGAAAAAGCATTGTGAAGTGATTTGCTTTCTACGGCTGGGTTCAAGAATTAAATGTTGGTTTTGGATTTCTGCTCTTTTACCTATTGACCCTGGAAGTATTTCTACTGAAAGTCAGATAGTTAAGAAATTGGTTTCTGTGTTCTGGAGTCCTGGCCGTGCTGGAGAGCCGCTCGCGGGGGGCAACCGGTGGCCTCGGTAGGGCGTGAAGGGCGGACCGAAACGCCCCACTTCCCATGAGGTTTTAGTCGCCCCCACACTCCCGGCTCATACCTGCTGTCCACAAGGCTCCCATGTGGCCGCCATCTTTCTTTCCAAAGAGGAGAGGGCGAATGGGGCAACACCCTTTCCCCTCCGGCAGACTTGATGGCCTGGATCAATGCAGAGTCCGTTCACTTTTCTGCTCCAAGCTGCTGGGTTCTGCATTAAGTCCTTGTGCTTCTGGGGCCGTGGCCGTGCTGGAGAGCCGCTCGCGGGGGGCAACTGGTGACCTCGGTAGGGCGTGAAGGACGGACCAGAACGCCCCCCTTCCCATGAGGTTTTAGTCGCCCCCACACCCCCGGCTCATACCTGCTGTCCACAAGGCTCCCATGTGGCCGCCATCTTTCTTTCCAGAGGGAGGAGGGCGGAAGGGAGCAACACCCTTTCCCCTCTGGGCAGAAATGATTGCCTGGATCAACGCATAGTCCTTTCACTTTTCTGCTCCAAGCTGCTGGGTTCTGCATTAGGTCATTGTGCTTCTGGGGCTGTGGCCGTGCTGGAGAGCCGCTCGTGGGGGCAACTGGTGGCCTCGGTAGGGCGTGAAGGGCGGACCGAAACGCCCCCCTTCCCATGAGGTTTTAGTCGCCCCCACACTCCCGGCTCATACCTGCTGTCCACAAGGCTCCCATGTGGCCGCCATCTTTCTTTCCAGAGAGGAGAGGGCGAATGGGGCAACACCCTTTCCCCTCCGGCAGACTTGATGGCCTGGATCAATGCATAGTCCGTTCACTTTTCTGCTCCAAGCTGCTGGGTTCTGCATTAAGTCCTTGTGCTTCTGGGGCCGTGGCTGTGCTGGAGAGCCGCTCGTGGGGGGCAACTGGTGACCTCGGTAGGGCGTGAAGGACGGACCAGAACGCCCCCCTTCCCATGAGGTTTTAGTCGCCCCCACACCCCCGGCTCATATCTGCTGTCCACAAGGCCCCCATGTGGCCGCCATCTTTCTTTCCAGAGGGAGGAGGGCGGAAGGGAGCAACACCCTTTCCCCTCTGGGCAGAAATGATTGCCTGGATTAACGCATAGTCCTTTCACTTTTCTGCTCCAAGCTGCTGGGTTCTGCATTAAGCCCTTGTGCTTCTGGGACTGTGGCCGTGCTGGGGAGCCGCTCGTGGGGGGCAACTGGTGACCACGGTAGGGCGTGAAGGACGGACCGGAACGCCCCCCTTCCCATGAGGTTTTAGTCGCCCCCACACTCCCGGCTCATACCTGCTGTCCACAAGGCTCCCATGTGGCCGCCATCTTTCTTTCCAGAGAAGAGAGGGCGAATGGGGCAACACCCTTTCCCCTCCAGCAGACTTGATGGGCTGGATCAACGCATAGTCCGTTCACTTTTCTGCTCCAAGCTGCTGGGTTCTGCATTAAGTCCTTGTGCTTCTGGGGCCGTGGCCGTGCTGGAGAGCCGCTCGTGAGGGGCGACTGGTGACCTCGGTAGGGCGTGAAGGACGGACTGGAACGCCCCCCTTCCCATGAGGTTTTAGTCGCCCCCACACCCCCGGCTCATACCTGCTGTCCACAAGGCTCCCATGCGGCCGCCATCCTTCTTTCCAGAGAAGAGAGGGCGAAGTTTTTATCACTATCTATAAGATTTATAAATTTTTATTACTTCTAGTGTCTTTGACTTCATCTGTTACCAATATCAGATCCACTATATATTTAGTTGCAGTGCTCTCAATAGAACAATATTGATGTCTCTATTCAAATGCTAGATCTTATTATCTTTGTCTTAGCTTAAATGTCATATCCTTAGAGAGTCCCAGATCACTCAAATTATTGATAGCTTATATTAATACCATCTAGATGCATATCTATTAAATAAAACTATTTTGTTTTTCTCCTAACTCTGAAAGAGCCTTGAATATGGCACTTTTAAAAAAATCTCAGGGCTAGGACGAAGGAGATGTTACTGGGGCCTGCTCAAGGCAATCGACGAATAACAGGATGGTTGTGATCATGATTGTGATTTTGTTTTTAAATTATAATGACAGTTATCTAATATTTTCTTTTGAGTCAGAGTGATCTGTTAGATCAGGGAATTTATCACTATTAATTCCAGTGCTTAATATATTGTATTGCTACATAGAAGATTTTGAATAAATATTGGGTGAATTTTGTATATCTGTAAACACATATACAAATTTAACTTTGTATACAATGATGGCATATGAATAGATAAACATACATTTAAATCTGGCGTATATATGTGAAATATCTATTTATGCAGGTCACATTATATACTTGTTAAGTACTGAGCAGGACAAATATAACATGGTTTTATTTGCAAAAATCACTGTGTAGAGGGAGAAGAGATGTCAAAACCTCTTCAGTGAGGATACCTTTTATCTTCAATGACAAATTTCATTCTGTACAAGTAATAATAGTGTTTTCACTTAGCATTGTTTAAGAAATATTTAGAAGTGTCTGATTCTATGAAAGGAAGGAGAGGGGCAGGATGGCTGTTTTAATATATATGGATAATTTAAAGGGAGATATATTCTGAGGAATTATTCTGGTGACTACATTCAAATTATATTCAAAAAAGTAAAATTTATATAAAGATAAAAAATTAAATAGGACAAACTATCATGAATTATGCCATTGGACAGATTCATGCATTTTGTTCAGCCCAAAGGTCTATCTAATTAAATGTGCATTGTTGAGACTTATAGTAAGTAGTTTTTATTGCTGAGTAGCCTAATGTACTTTTCACGTAAACATTTTTGTTTAACACTATTCTAAGAAGGTGGAAAGCAAAATACCTTTACATATCAAAGGTTGCTTCATATCAATAGCTCTTCATATCAAAAGCAGCTATATAGTAATAGTAACAATGGTACATCGTTTCCATAGGTTTTCTTTTACCTTCTGAAACTCTGGTTGAGAATTCAGAGAAATATGTATATTCAGGATAGTATGAGAAAGAAATTGTAGTTGTACCTTTTGATATTATATTATATCAGAGTAAGATCTAGCTTAGGTTTCTTAAAATATCTCAAATATGGAATTTGTGATGTCTGCAAAATCAGTGAGGATGTTTTGTAAGCTGTAGTTTTGGGGGGAGTATATTAGAATATAAAGGGCCAATAAAAATCCAATCATTTGATCAAACAGGTAAGGAGTTATCCCTAGAAAACGCAGATACAGATAATCTTAAGAATATCTTCAGAAAACCAGTGTCTTATACCAATGTTATTATTACCTTTAGAAATAATTCTGAGACAAAAAGAGTGGAGAGACACCCTGAAAGCAGAGCCTATGGTAATTATTGAGGTAAAAATCGGACATTTCTTCTAGCTAACCCTGACATGTGGCCCAACAGCAACTCCAGTTCCTTCCTGTTGACTGGTTTTCCAGGCTTAGAGGCAGCTCACCACTGGATTTCTGCACCCTTCTTTTTTGTCTACATTTCAGTCCTTTTCGGCAATGGCACTCTCCTCTTTGTCATTAAGGAAGATCACAATCTTCACGAACCTATGTACTACTTCCTGGCCATGCTGGCAGCCACAGACCTAGGACTGACTGTGACCACGCTACCTACAGTTCTGGGAGTCCTCTGGATGGATCACAGGGAGATTCAGAATGTAGCCTGCTTTACTCAAGCCTATTTCATACACTCACTTTCTTTTGTGGAGTCTGGTGTTTTGCTTGCTATGTCATATGACCGTTTTATCGCTATCCGTGATCCTCTTAGATACACCTCTATACTCACTAATACTCGAGTGATGAAAATTGGGCTAGCTGTTCTGATGAGAGCGTTTGTATCTGTTGTGCCCCCAATTTTACCACTCTATTTTTTCCCCTACTGTCACTCCCATATCCTTTCCCATGCATTCTGCCTTCACCAGGATGTCATCAAACTGGCCTGTGCTGATATCACCTTCAATCGACTGTATCCAGTTGTGCTTGTAGGCCTTATATTTGTTCTGGATTCTCTAATTATCCTCATCTCCTATATATTGATCCTAAAGAGTGTCCTGAGCATTGCCTCCAGAGAGGAGAGGGCAAAAGCCCTTAACACTTGTGTTTCCCATGTTTGTTGTGTCTTAGTTTTCTATGTTACAGTGATAGGGTTGTCTCTGATTCATCGGTTTGGGAAGCATGTTCCACATCTTGTTCATCTTATTATGAGCTATGTCTATTTTCTGTTCCCTCCCTTAATGAATCCTATAATCTATAGTATCAAGACCAAGCAGATCCGCAGTGGAATACTTCGCATTTTTACTATGCATAAAGTTGAAGCCTAATCTATTGTGAACTTGAGCCCTTCATATGCTATATGAAAACTCTGAGTTTTGGCAGGGGTATAAAGAAGTCTCATAGCAACCAAAAGTTATCATCTCTGTTGGTAAAATAATATTAAATGTGGAGTTACAAAGTATCCTTAAGGTATCTCTTTAAGATCAGGCTTTGGTGTAATCCACTTGTAAAATTACTGTAATTTAAAAATTGTGTATGCTAGAGCTAGAGAGATAGTACAGTAATTAGGATGCTTGCCTTTTATGTGACTGACCCAGATTCTATCCCTTGGACCCCACATGGTCTCAAGCCTTGCCGGGAGTGATTCCTGAGTGCAGAGTAGTCAGGAGTAAGCCCTGAGATCAATTAGGTGTGACTCCAAAACAACACAAAAGTTCTGGAGACTAAGTACATCGATCTGCTTGGCACTCAGTATTTTTTGACAATAGTATCTTAAATACATCTATGTTTATAGTGTAACTGTAATATATTTATTTAAAGTTAGAAAGGCAATATGTGGACATAAGAATTTTCATCGGGTGAATGAAATGAAGCTTGAATTCTTACATCCAATCTAATCTCTATACAATATGAATTATTCCATAAATATATATTCACACAAACTAAGGAGACTTATACTTTGACCATTAAGCCTCAGAAGTTTTCCTAAAAAGCATACATTCTTCCTTGATTAGTGTAGTGTGTACTCATCACTTGGTATCCTAATCATCTCCTAAATCCGTTCCGTAAAAGATTATGACTTTGTTTCAAAAGTATTAAATTGCATTTATTTCCCAAGACTGTACATAATTATAAAAAAATTTTGGTGAGTTATGGAGCAATAGACAGTGGGTAAGGAACTTGTTTTGCACATGACTGACCCGGGTTTGGTTCTCAGCACCCCATATGATCCCCAAGCAGAGCCAGGAGTACACCCTGAGCATTGATGGGTGTGACTGTAATAGAAACAAACAAAAAATATTGTAATGAGAAGAATCATGGAAATCTGAGAGAAAATAAACATTGTTAGTGCCTTCTTCCATTTTTACTCCAATTTTTATTCTGCCTTAGCCTAAAATATTCATGCCATATGTAGAGTATCAGTCAGTGGCTAACTAGTATATCTGAATAGAGACGGTCATCTTCTCTCCCTCCTTTAGCTATTAACAAAGTTTGAGGGTCTAAAGTGATCATGTCTGTCTGGAGGGGAAAGGGGGTTGCCCCATTCGCCCTCTCCTCTCTGGAAAGAAAGATGGCGACCGCATGGGAGCCTTGTGGATAGCAGGTATGAGCCGGGGGTGTGGGGGCGACTAAAACCTCATGGGAAGGGGGGCGTTTTGGTCCGCCCTTCACGCCCTAGCGAGGCCACCAGTTGCCCCCCACGAGCGGCTCTCCAGCACGGCCACGACTCCAGAGCACAGAAACCAATTTCTTAACTATCTGACTTTCAGTAGAAATACTTCCAGGGTCAATAAGTAAAATAGCAGAAATCCAAAACCAACATTTAATTCTTGAACCCAGCTGTAGAAAGCAAATCACTTCACAATGCTTTTTCAGCATGTCTGATTTGGGGGGGGGGGGTAAACTCTAAATAATAGTGGTGAATCTTTTATTGAAACAATGAATCTAATCAAAGCAGATAGAGTGTTAACTAGAATTCATCTGCCTCACAGGGACTGGGAGGGGTGGGGGTTAGGGTTTTGTTGGGGTTCTTCATGGTAAAAAATAAGTATTGGTAAAGGGAAATGTGTTTGATATTTGCATGACTGAGACCTAAACCTGAAAGCTTTGTAACCTTTCCCACAGTGATTCAATAAATAAATAAATAAATAAAGTGATCTTTTCCCATATTCTTTTCTTTCTTATTTATATATTTTAGTTTGCTGGTCATACGTGGCAGTGCTCAGTGCTTACTACTAGCTCTGTGCTCAAAGATCATTCCTGATGGTGGTCAGGGAACTACATGTAGTGTTGGGGATTGAACCTGAGCCATCCATATGAAAGTCAAGTGTCCTACATATTGTACTATCTTTCCAGCATTCTACTTTTTTTTTTCAATAAATAGTTGCTTTCTGTAATTGTATTCTTACTACATAAGTAGAACTGTCTCCAGAGTAAAATGATAATTTTATTTGGTTGAAAATTTCTCATGACCTTGAAAGGGAGATGCAACTCAAATTAAAACAGTCTCTAAGGTGGAAACTATGTCTTCAATATCTCGCAATCAGACTATCAGAATTAGGTAGAACAAGAAAAATGATTCTTCTAGTTGATATGGCCATATGTCCAAAACAGAGATTCTACTTAACTGAAAACATGACATCTAAATGGCAACCACTGAAACTGCCTAATATGCCTGTCAAGACAAGTGAGGGTTGGGATGAGGAAATCTGGGAGCACTGGTTGAAGGAAATTGACCCTGGTGGGATTGGTGTTGAATTGTTGTATGATTAAAAATCAACGATATTTTACTACTTTCGGACTAGGCTGGAGCGATAGCACAGTGGCAGGGCATTTGCCTTGCACGCGGCCAACATGGCCGACCCGAGTTCGATTCCTCCGCCCCTCTCGGAGAGCCCGGCAAGCTACCGAGATTATCTTGCCTGCACGGCAGAGCCTGGCAAGCTCCCCATGACGTATTCGATATGCCAAACACAGTAACAACAAAGTCTCCAATGGAGACGTTACTGGGTCTGCTTGAGCAAATCGATGATCAACGGGAGGGCCTTTATTGCTAATGCATATAAATTGGAAGTGCTAAAAATAAAAATGAAAAAATTCAATTAAAAATGAGGGATGGGTATTTGATCATTGTATAATTGAAACCCAAGCACAAAAATTTGTAAGTCTAAAAAGAAATAAATACAAAGTCACATTCAACTAAAAAAAATCTGAATAAAGAGAAAAAAATGATTTTTTCTAGTTGGAAGATGAATTGTCCAGATCCTTTTATAGTGTGACACCATTTTATAGTGTGACACCAATAATTTTATTCTGTGATTGTCATCTGTTTTCAATCATTTTCTGCTTCCTTCAGGTTGTTATTGTCAATGAATTAGGAAAACCTCTCTAAGATTATTGGTTTTGGCTCTCAGGAAGTAAGGTATAAATATATGCTGATTGACTTGCCTTCTGAAGTTAAACTCTAGCTAGGAAAATTTTATTGCTTATTTCCTTCCTGCATCTACATTCAGCTTTTGTGATGAAAACCTCACTTTTCAGAGAACTCATTAAAAACATTATACTTATTTATATCCCTGTCTTAAATTTTACTTATAGTAAGTCCAGTATATTAAAAAAAATCTCTCTTTTTTATCTCTCTATTTTAGGAAGGAATTAAATTGTAAAGGAACTTAAAGAGCAATTTAATCTTATCATTGTCACTCCAAAACATCAAGTTATCTTTCAAGTATTAGATTAGGAGTTGATGTTTTTATTATATCTCTGAAATCCCATATTCTGTCAAGTAAAGTTAGATGATTTTTTTTTTTTGCTTTTTTTAGGTCACACCAGGTGATGCACAGGGCTTATTCCTGGCTCATGCACTCAGGAATTACTCCTGGCGGTGCTCGGGGAACCATTTGTGATACTGGGATTCGAACCTGGGTCGGTCATGGGCAAGGTAAAAGCCCTACCTACTGTGTTACCACTCCAGCCCCTAGATGGTTTTCAAGATTTAAAAACCTTATGGAATGAAAAGATGTATCATTTTATTATTGTAGAAATAATAAAAGACAGAATAGATGATTATTATATGTTCTATCAGATTAACGATTTCAAGCTATTTGAACTACTTAGATTAAATTATAGAGACTGAAAATAAAAATCCACAAGAATCACCAATTTCATGTTTTCCTAAAGATTCAATAACAACAGTTCAATTTCCACCTCTGATTTCATAGCCAATAAAAACCTCTTTTTGCCTTATTTAATTTAAACAAGGTTTAGTTGAGCTTGAGTTATTTGTAAGCTCATAGGAAAATCAATTATGGCACTAAGTTATAGATGAGTGGCTCTGTACCCAGGTGTTGAAAATAATAAAACAGGGGCTGAGTCAGACAATATTATTAGAAGAAATGAATGAAAATTTTTTATTTTTTACCTCATCTCTGCCAAAAGTGATTGCTAATAGTCTTTTTGATAAATGCCATTCTCTTTGGTGTGTAGATAATACTTTTGATTTGTATTTCCTTGATAATAACTGATGATATTTCCTCTCGTAAAAGTGTCCATTTATGTCCTCTTGATATTTCTCAAAACAAGTAAAAGTAGAGTCCTCAGTTGACCCAGCTGTTCGATTTCTTATCTACTTCCCCAAAACACAAAAACAAAAATTCAAAAAGATATATGCACCACTACATCCATTGCAGTGCTTAGTAGCATAGCCAGGATATGTTTAAAAAAACTTTAAAATCCAATATTGAAGAAATTGTGGTATATATACACAATGGGATAGTATTCAACTGCAAGGGAAGATTAAACCATGTAGTTTACTGCAATCTAGATAGAATTGAAGGGCATGATGTTATGCAAAATCAGATGAAGAGCAAATACAAGATGTTCTCACTTATCTGTGGTATATAGAGTATCAAGACAAGGTAGTGGCAATTATTATGGTGGCAAACCCTTGTCCCTGGACTAGAAATGATAATACCAATGATGGAGGGGGTGGGAAAAGAGGATACAAACTGATGGAACATGGGGTCATTGGTCAGGAACCTTGGACAGTTTGGTAGTGGAGAGATGAGGTACCTACATATGTATAAGAACATGAGTGAGTATTACAGTAAATGTGCATAAAATACAATTAAATTTGAAAAATGAGATTGAGGAGAAGGCAAGTAGAGGATGAACGGTAACTTTGCATCATAGTAACAGGGTGTTGATATAGTGGTGGGTTTGGAGTTGGAACATTTGATATATGAAACTCTGTTATTAACAGCATTGTAAATTTTGGCCCCTAAATAAAAACATTTCAAAAATCATAAAATATTATAGAGAATTATTT